AAAAATAAAATATTAATCAATTTTGTGTTTTCATCACAGAATGAATGACTGGTGTTGAAACATTAATGGTAATTGTTCAAACATTATATGGAATGATTCTGATTGCATGCTAAACAGTTACAAAAAGTACCTTGGTCTTTCATTTACTCATATATTTCTGAAATATTTAAAATATAGTTCTAAAGAAAAGAAATCAGATGCACACAAAAAGTTTTCTTCAATTATAAAGGAACCACTATATATTGCCACTTAGCAACTTCTGTGGTTGGTCATTCTGCATCCTGAGTGATGTGTGTCTTTGAGGAAATCAGGATTATTTTGTTGATTCTTCTGAGGGAGATCCAACATACGTGTCTTTATGTTCTTGTCAGTAAACTTTTAAAGTAACTTATTAAAATTATTAGTTATCAATAAATTAGGAAAAACAACATCAACTTGATATTTCTAATGTTTAGCCACCTATTTTTCTAGAATACATGTTAAAATTGCTTTTTCATTTTTTGGCATAGAATTTTTATTGAATTTTATTGAGCTCTACATTTTTCTCTGCTTCCCTCCCCTCCACTCCCCTTCCCTTCAACCCTCTCACAAGGTTCCCATGCTCCCAATTTACTCAGGAGATCTTGTCTTTTTCTACTACCCATGTAGACTAAATCTATGTATATCTTAAATTTAACTACATGAAATATTGTCTATAAAAATGTCAAAATAGAATCCATTGCTTTGTATACTAATTAGCATGAATTAAGTAACAATACATAAACATCAATCTGATATATCATTTTCTATATTAGCATGAATTACAATTATAAAGAGATAGCTTTATCAAATGAAGATTAAAAGTTCAAAGGTACAAAGCTAAAGTAGACTGGACACAAATATGAGACAAAAATAAAGAACATTCAGAAAAGTTACTAAGTGATACACTTAGAATAAGAAAAAGAAAAGGCAACTCCCAAGGAGAAAACAAACAAGAGTTCAAATATTAAAATTACATTTTAATACATAATTAACACAATTTTAATACATTCATAATACAATGTTGTCAAAGTAAGAAAATAATTTTTGTAGTTTATAAAGATGAAATAATTGGTGTAAGATGTTTCAAGGTTAATTTGGCAAAAGTGAAGCAGAGTAAAATCTATGTACTGGGTAAATCTTTCTAAAGCATGACATTAATATATTCAGACTTTGTATAAAATTTTGATGTAATAATTTTGTTGCACTATATTTTACAATATTAATCATCTTAAGTATCCATTAAAAAGAGAATTTGTTAATTATGGAACATTATAGAGTGAGAGATGAGAGTCAACAAAAGCAGTGAGGTAAATCATCTTTGTACAAGTGAAAAGATGCTTTATGCATTACAAAAGTAAAATCATGGAAAAACAGGAAAGAGATGAATTTTATTTTATTTTATTTTTTATTGCTTTATTTTATTTATTTTTTAAAAAGAAAGCAAATTATATTTTTCATTACACAAACCCAATTCAAGTTCCCACTCACTCCCCTCCTCCCATTCCTTTCACTTACTCCTGCACCCCTACTGCCCATCCACTCTTCAGAGAGGGTAACGCACATTGCTTTGGGGATGGTTCAAAACCCTCCCTACTTTATCTAGGCTGAGCAAGGTATCCGTCAAAAGAGAATAGGTTCCCAAAAAGCCAGTTCAAGCAGTAGGGATAAATCCTGGTGCCCCTCAGTCTGCCCCAGCCTTGCCACTGTCAACCACATTCAGAGGGCCTAGTTTGGTGCTATGCTTGTTCCTTCCCAGTCCAGCTGGAGTTGGTTATCTTCCATTAGCTCAGGTAAAACTGTTTCAGTTGGTGAACCCATATCATGGTCTTGACCTCTTTGTTCATAGTCTCATTCCTCCCAGTCTTCAACTGGATTTTGGGAGCTCAGTCCAGTGCTCTGATGAGGGTCTCTGCCTCTGTTTCTATCAGTTGCTGGATGAAGGTTTCATGGTGATACTTAAGATATTTCTTTCCTTGCTCTCATCTTTGTTCTTCCTCCATCTTGACTATCCCATCCCCTCAAGTTCTCCTCACCCTTCCCCTTCTTCATTTCTCTTCCCCTTCTACCCTCTCTCCTCTCCCCACCCCTGTGTTCCCAATTTTGTCCAATGATCTTGTCTATTTTGTCTTTCCAGGTCGATCTACATATGTTTTTCTTAGGGTTCACTTTGTTATTTAGCTTCTCTAGGATCATGAATTATAGGCTCAATATCCTATGTTTATAGCTAGTATCCACGTATGAGTGAGTACATACCATATTCACCTTTGTAGGCCTAGGTTGCCTCACTTGGGATAGTGATTTTTAGTTACACCTATTTGAATGCAAAATTCAAGATGTCAATTTGTTTTACCACTTAGTAGTACTCTAATGTGCAAATGTGCCACACTTTATCCATTCTTCAGTTGAATGGCATCTAGGTTGTTTTCAGGTTCTATTACAAATAATGCTGCTATGAACATGGTTGGACATATGTCTTTGTAGTACGGTTGAGCATCTTAAGTTTATATGCCAAAAAGTGGTATTGCTCTGCTATAGGTCTAAAGCAGTTTTTATTTATCAATGATAACCACCACATACAGAGGGAAATCCCACATCATGCTTCTTCTAGGTTAAGTTGATCAAGTCTTCAGGTTGTGTGACAGCTGGGTTCCAGTGTTCCCATGTTGCTTTTTAGATTTTTTGATGAATTCTTGCATTGTTGTCTACTCATCTTTTTCTTCAGTTGATGATGGCAGTGTCTTTGTGTCTTGGTCCAATCCTTGCAGTGGTTGTCTGAGTCTTTGGGAATTGGTCTTGGTCTGCTCTGTACTCTCAATGTCTGTGTCTCAGGTAGCCACTGAGGTCCCTCTTAGGTTGCTTTCTTGTTCTTCTCTCCTGGTTTTCTCTCTTGGTCCATTCTGTACAGTCACAGCTTGTGCTTTAGAGTTGATCTCTTGATCTTTTCTCTTGAAACTCTCCTGCTCGCTGAGGCAGGTGGCTGGGGGGGGCCATGGTTTTGCCCCACTATGGAGGGCCTGGAGAATGGGGTGTCCTGCCGGTTGGCTGGTCACTCATCTCTTGGTCCTCTCTGTATTATAGTAAGCAGTGTTTCAGAGTTCCCCTGAGGTTGCAGAAGGATTGGCGAGTTTGGGGGTGAGATGGAACGAGTAGCTTACAGGATCCCATGAATGGGGTTGGTATTGGGACATCCTACCTTCAGGAAACTCTCCTGCTGGCTGGCTAGAGAAGCCAAGGCAGTTGGGGGTGATGCTGAAGATTTTCCCCACTATGGAGGTCCTAGAGGATGGGGTGTCCTACCAGGTGGCTGGTCCTTTACCTCTTAGTCATCTCTGTATTAATGGAAGCAGTGTTTCAGATTTCTACCGAGGTTTCAGAAGGAAAGGCAAGTTTAGGGACAGGATGGGACTAGTAGTTTTCAAGGTTTTGTGGATGGGGGTGGATATTGTGGCAGCCTACCTGCAGGTGAGATGAAATTTCAAAATTAAAAATAAATACTAAAGATTGACTGTTATAATCAACTAATTTTCCAAATCTTATGAGAACATATTACATCCTTATCCAATGCACTTTGATATAATTTAATACTTAAATAATTACATATAGCATTTTGTATCCTTATGGCTTGTAGTATTTGAGGTACATGTTTATAGTTTTGAATTATACTGACTTGCTTATGGTCCTTTTTATCCTTCAGTGATTTTTAAATTAAGATTCTAGGTACAGTTGAAATATTTAGAAAGCCTGAGGTTCAAAATTCACAGAAGTAATAACAAATTCATATACAGTATTTCCTCTCTGGCATATATAGCTAAGTGTATTTCATATATTTACTAAAGAAAGCATCAATCACAGGGGAAATTAAATTTCATATTACAAAGCAATTCTGGAAGTTAAAATGAAAAAGAAAAACAAACATAAATTCTATAAAGATCAGATCCTCAAAAGCCAGAGTAACAAGAGCAGCAAAGTACAGTGTAATAGAACTCTGAACGCCAGTACCCTAAAAATACGATAAACACACAAAAAAGAGAGAGGAGGAGCTTTGAAGAAAGAAACCATTGAAGAAAGGACTTTGAAGAAATCTCTGAGTTTGAAAAACACACTCTGCCTCTCCTTCCCCACTTGCTATCTAAAGTCATACAAAGAACACACAGAGAATTCCAAGCAGGCCAAAAGCCATGGTTCACAAAAATAATGTAATTGTTTAAGAACACATAGGAACAAGTCGAACATGCTTTATGATAGGCCAGTATACCCTGAAAACCTTTGCTTGCTGCTAATATATTCAGAAAGTTGCTTGTTCCAGCCTAAGGTATAGAGAGGGTCTGGAGAGTCAATAGTTAACTTTTTGTGGAACTCACTATTTAAATCTCTGGAAGTTTTAAATCAGACACATTAGACATATTTTCAAAGATTTGCTATTATTATTATTATTATTATTATTATTATTATTTCCTCTCTGTGTGTGCATGTGTGCACACAGTTTAGTGCAGGTGCCCGAGGTGACCAGAGCCATTGGTTTTCCCTGGAGCTTCCATTCTAGGTGTTTGATATCAGTCTGGTAAGGGCACTAAGAACCAAACTAATACCTCTGGGAGAAGCAGTACACTCTCTTAATTACTGAGTCATCTCTCCAGCACCTAGAAATAGTTTTAACATTGAATTCAGCATTTTCTGCAGATGGGCGCTTCTCAAGACTCCCCTTATCTCTATGAGATAATAGTAGCACATGACTGCGTTCCTGGCAAAGCATTGCCAGTGATTATTTCTAGATGGGTACATATTTATGAACACCAGGCACACTTTTAAAATTTCACTTTAAATAATGTTGTATCTGTAAAGTGGTGTCTATTCAGAAAATGACCATAAAGAGCTATTGAGTCAAGTGGGATATTTTTTCTTGTCAGAATACACAAAACAATTTTTATGTAGCATAATTGTAATTAATTATATCTCCCTTCTTTATCTCTCATTTTCAGTGTTAGTGGAAAGTGGAACTGTCATTTCATTTGTGGGTTTTATTAATTCTGGATATTGTAACATTTATAGAAATGTTGTGGGTCTCATGAGCCTACGATTAAACAAAATGGTGAGTTTCAACTTGTTTGTTGATTTAATAATTAATTACTCTAGTGGATAAAGGAAGTTGGGTAGCATTTCTCATGCATATTGAACATTGTCCTGTTTTATTTAAGAAAATAACAGTTGAATTATTTGGGGAATTTTTATTTGGTTTATTTTTTGTGCAGTAAGCTGTAAGATTCAGGAATGAAATATATTGAGCTACATATGTTGATTTATAAATTGTGATATGACCAATAACCACAATACAAGGTCCTTCATCTTCATTGTCAAGGAAATGGATTTTAAAACCATAGAAAGTAGCCACAACAGAACAGAAGGGGTAAGATGAACTTCACCACACAATTCACCTTTCCCTCTAAATATTTACCTATCTACCTAAAGACCCACATTAATCCCCATCGTTCCTGAACTAGAAGCAATCTAGATGTCCATTAATGAGACACTGTAACTGTATTTACATAGTGGTCAACCACACAGAGTGAAACACAACCCATGCTAAGTGTATGACGCATTAATCTCGACACAAGTAGTGTGAGGACGTCAAACTCCAAAGAGTACCGTGTATTCATTTCACTGCTCTTAACCAGACACAGAAAGAGTCATATACTAGAAAAAGAATGAGCATTTAAAATTACTCAGTTAAATATGTAAACTGGCTTATACTATGACTCCTTAGTTATGGTAAAGATTTACCAATCGCAGAAATGGCAAATATTCAAGCTGTTATGATTTTGACTTAAAAACACTTACAAGACTTTCTCCTGGGCAGAAGGTGGTGGTGCACACACACACACCTTTAATCCAAGTAATCAGGAGGCAGAGGCAGGTGGATCTCTGTGAGTTCAAGACAAGCCTAGTCTACAGGAGCTTGTTCCAGGACAGGCTGCCAAGCTACAGAGGAACCCTGTCTTAAAAACAACCAAAAAAAGAAAAAGAAAAAAGGAAAAAAAAAGACGTTATCTTTGTCCAAGTGCCTGTCAAACACCTGTCCTGGGGAAAATTGTTTTCCATTGCTTACTGTAACCTGATCATCATTAGGTCTTCCAGAAGAGATGTCATTCTTTTCAGAATCACCTGGGCTGAAACTGCAGTAAAGTCTTCTCCACAGGACCCCTGATGTGAAATAAATTATTAGATCATTGAATTAAAATTACTATTGTTACTAAGAAAACATATAATAGTTGGAATATGAATATGGCTCATGGAAAGAAAATTTATAATGTGTACAAGTACTTGAGATCCATCCCCAGTAACACACTTGTGAGCAAACATGTACAGATAATTAAAGAAAAAAAGACAAGAGATAGTTCCTATTTCAGTTAATCGGTCACTTAAAGCCATTACAGTGTTTCAACACCATCTTCTCAGTTACTCCCTTAACCATGTCTCCAAACTGAGGTTAGGGTTTATCACAATTGGTAGTTGACAAAATATGGTTACATTTCACTCTGATCACAAAGTAGTATTCTACGGCCTTTGGAAACTTCAACCATTTCAATATTTCTCAGACAGCTTATTGTATTAAAAAATGAAACAGGGTAGTGAGATGTCTCAGTTGATAAAGGGGTTTGCCTTTCAGCCTGACAAACTTGAATCTTTGGCCCACATAGTGAAAGGAGAGAACTGAAACCTGTAAGTTGTCTTCGGGCCTCTACATGCATATCATCATTATAAATCAACATAATCATCATCATCATCATCATCATCATCATCTCACACATACCCTGAGTATATAAACATTAAAATAACATAATAGATGCATAACTAAACGACAGTGTTGTCAGCTACCATGTTCCTACTGGTCTTCTTGACTGCATCATGGCTTTAATATAAAATGAATAAAACAATGAATAGAATAAAATGTAAATGTTTTCTCTGATTTTAATGAACTTTATTTCTAATATCTATTAGCTAGATGATTTAAAGAACTAAGATCCTGACAATATTGGTTGCATGAATAATTTTATTAAAACTCTGTTGTCTGTATCTTTTGCAGAAAAAGGTTAAAAAGCTTGTGTACATGGGTAAACTCAGGGAGAAGCAATCCTTTGGTGAGATCAGCATTCTTCTTCAAGATCCTTTCACATGTACAATTATTACTGGAGGAGAAGTTGAGATGATGGTTATCGAAGATGAGGATATTCTTGGTAAATGCAAAAATGCCATATAACTGTTGTGTAACCTAATTATGGAGTTTTGGAAAGGGTGGGGGTTTTTAACTGACGAGATACACAAGTGAGTGTGGATATATGTAACAGAGGTAAGAGATACACAAGACAGGTGATAGACAGACAGAGAGATGCCCCTTATATTATTCTGATTCAGATTTGTTACTTTAAGGTTATATTATTCATGTTTTAAAAGAATAAGTTGAAATTAGTAATCTTGATAATTCACAAGGTACGACAAATGTAGCAGTCCTGATTTTACAAGGATATTTTATTTTCATATTTAAGGTATTTCTTTAATGATTTTGCATAAAGTCAAATATAAACAATACTTAATGTTCAAAAGATCAAATACACATATGTACAGCATATACAAATGCATATAAGCATACACACATGCACAACTGCATGTAAAACACATGCATATACATGCATGCACATACAAACACCTATATTTGCAATACTTAAGTCTTTTAGATACTTTAGAGTTCTAGCATTAAAAGAATAATGATTTCATCACAAATTAAATCATAGAATTGAATATAAGCAGAAATGAATAGTGGTTAAACCATGAAAGTCATTCTTCATACATTAAAACTAGAGAATGTCACATACTAATTACATAATAAAATAGGAAACATTTCTAGACATTAACATAGGTGAATGATTTTCTTAAACAAACTCAATGTGACAGAATTTTGAGTGTTTAACTTCTCCTGGAGAATATGCAGGCTGTCCTTGCTATAATCTTATTTAAAATGAAAATCTAATCTAATTTCAGGCATCTGTTTTTAAAAGGCATGGTTTTGAAATAGTATTTGTTAATTTTTTCCCTTCCTTGCCGTTCAAATACAATTCCACGGACGTTAAAGATCATATACTAACTACTAACTAAAATAATATTTCTTTCACTTTATATATGACATACTTTTCCATTCACTAACAGTATTGCTGGTATACATGAATACATACGGTTCCTCTATGTAAATAAATATTTTATATACTACTAACATTTAGAGTTCACCAGAAAAACAGAACCAACTGAATATTTATATATGTAAAGAAGATTCTCTGGGAAGGTGCTCAGGTGGAACCAAGAATTCATTCTTGTTCATTCCAAAGACTGAGGCCTGAGAATAAGGGAAGCTGTTGACAAGTTGTTTTGGTTCCAGTCTGTGGAACCAAAGATCAGAAAATGTGTGTGTGTGTGTGTGTGTGTGTGTGTGTGTGTGTGTGTGTGTACATGTAGTAGGGAGATTTAATAAGTTCTAGGGTAAGAATGTCTGAGAATATGTTTGCTTTATGTGTGAAAATAATATGTCTCAGATAACAATGGAGATAGAAATTAGAGATGCAGCAGAGAGAATTCACCCTTCATATGTCTTTGTAGCTCTACTCATATATTGGATAATTGAATTTTAGCTGTTAATACTCCTTTGAGCCTTCCTTTCTCAGTCTTTTCATTCAGATACTAATCACTTTTAGAGACATCCTTATATACATACCTGGAAAGACTTTTTCCCATATATCTGAGAATTCTTTAGCTCAGTCAAATTCATACCTAAAATTAATCATCAAACACAGGAATGTGTTTCTTTCAAGCTTGTATTAGAATTTCCTTTGCCACCTGGCAGCTCCATACATATTTAAATAAATGGTATAGTATAAAGATTAAATTGTAGGTGTGCACGCTATTCATCTTCTAAAATTTATTCTATAGTTCATTTATATTACGAATGATTTCACAAGGCTACTGTCATGCTATTTACTTGATTCATTAGTCTCTAGGGAGAATTATGATAAGAACTATATTTTTCCAAAATTCATAAGGAAACATTACGATATTCCAGAATATATTTATATTTCTACACTCTAAGCATTTTATGTTTTATTTTAAGAGGGTTAGGAGCTTTAAAAAAGTAAAATCCTTTCAGCAAAATAATGCATGACTGGATTTAATGAAAGGAGAGTCTTTACATGTGAAAAATGAACTTTAATTTTCACTTTGTCTGTATATAAGTTTGTGCATGGGATATGGTGTTGGGGATGGAAACGTGGACTTTGTACATAGGATGCAAGTAATGAGACACTATTCACCCAAAATTTGTTTCTTTAAAATTGTCATTTTAAATGCAATTTATGTTTCACAGTTTAATACACATGCATAATACATTGTAATTACTCATGTCCCATACAAGTTCACATCCTCTTCTAATCCCTGACAACATCCCACTCATAATACTAGACTCTTTGCGACATTTATGTCTTTTATTTTATGAACCATTACATTTAAGCACTGTCATCTTCATGGCTGTGGCTTTGGAACGGTCAGTTGGAGGCTGGTGAGTTCATGAACAGGTGATTCCTTGTTGTCTGACATTTACCAATAACCTAAATTTTTCATTACACTTTTCCCTATAAGTCACCTACTTAATTCTTTTTATATTGTCTCCCAAAATGTTCTCTGAGTCTTGGAATGAGAAGCAGTATAAATATTCCATTAAGGGGTGAGCATACAACCATTAGATATTATTATTATTATTTTTGAAAAGAAGAAAAATTAAAAAAAATTTCCGCCTCCTCCCAGCCTCTCATTTCCCTCCCCCCCCCCCCCCCCCC